TGACCTGACCTGACCTGACCCGACCTGGTCTAAATGCTTCAAGACATCATCTGTGATCAAAACTAACACGATATTCGTGATCAGCACCCCGAAAAACCCCTTAGCAGCCACACTTTACGACTTTCTAACAGGTCCCGATTTTCCCGACTTTGGGTCATTGACCTGACCTGGAAGGTCAACCAATGACCTAGGACCTTAAAATTGGGTATCATCGGCTTCCTCTCGTCACGGGCAACACGCTCGTTTTTTCTGCGAAGCTCTAGCTCGATCAGGGGCCAAACGGCAAGGGGGGGGTCCAACCGACCCCCCCCCCCCCCTACACATTAGAAGCTGGCAAACGCCGCACACATGCGAGGGTTAACCTGAGGTTGACCTAGACCAGAATTTCATCCAAATGTGATCCAAATCATTTAGTGAGTATCACCCAGTGGCGCAGCCAGGGGGGGTCAGAGGGTCAGCTGACCCCCCCGAAATTGCTGTCAGGGGCCCCCCGCTCGAGAGAGAGAGAGAGAGAGAGAGAGAGAGAGAGAGAGAGAGAGAGAGAGAGAGAGAGAGAGAGAGAGAGAGAGAGAGAGAGAGGAGAGGAGGAGATCCTATCTACATAATCGGACGGGTCCGCTTCGAAAAGTGCGTACTGGGACACCACGGGTGAGGGGTAGGCCTGAGGCCCCGGGAGAACGGGCCCCGGAGCCCCGGGTGGACGGAGCCCGGGCCCCCGGGAGAACGGGTCCCGAGCCCCGGGTGGACGGGGCCCGGACCCCCCGGTGGATGGGGCCCAGGCCCTCGGGAGAACGGGCCCGGGCCCCGGGTGGACGGGGCCCGGGCCCGTTCTGCGGGTCGACTGCGGGTAGATGGGGCCCGGACCCCCGGGTGGACGGGGCCCGGGCCCCCCGGTGGATTGGTTCGGGCCCCGGGAGTACGGGCCCCGGGTGGACGGGGCCCGGACGCAAATTCCCAATAATGCTACACGCTACGCACCTCCAGCGCTGACTGGCTGGTTGTCGCGGGAGATGACGTCATAGTCTGACGCCCGCGCTCATTGACCTGCGGGTTATGTGACGTCACATCCATCAGCCAAGCAATAGTCAGACAAGGTGGCGTCTATTCGCTAGTCCAGATATTGGTTAAGGAAACTTACGAGGACGATATACGAGTCTATGCACGAACCACATGCGGACCTGAGGCGCGAATTCAAGGGGGCGATATGGCCTTGATTGCTGGCGTTTGTTAGGTGCGCTGACCCAATCAGGGGCGGATCCAGGGGGGGGCATCTGGGGGCCGATGCCCCTAGCCTATCGAAAAATGCCGCCCCTCCGCCGCCGAAGGCGGCGGAGGGCGGCTTTTTTCCATACGTGATGAAGTGCATTTTACGGAAATGACCCGCATTTCTTTGAAGCTCATTTCATAATAATCTCTGGTAGTAACTATCTGAATTTATATTTAACCCTCAGAGTATGTCGCTTCTCTCCCTGAAGTCAGAGTGCCGCCCCTTAATTCGAAGTACCGCTACTTAAAGTCATATTGCTACCCTTTGAAGTAGTAGTGCCGCTCTCGGAAGTCGAAATGCCGCCCTCGGAAGTCGTAGTGCCGCCCTCTGTACTCGTAGTGCCGCCCTCTGAAGTCATAGTGCCGCCCTCCGCAGTCCTCGTGAAGCTCCTTGAAGTCATTGCGCCGCCCTCTGAAGTCATAGCGCCGCTCTCTGAAGTCATAGTGTTACCCTCTGAAGTCATAGCGCCGCCCTCTGAAGTCATAGTGCCGCCCTCTGAAGTCATAGTGCCGCCCTCTGAAGCATAGTGCTGCCCTCTGAAGTCATAGTGCCGCCCTCTGAAGTCATAGTGCCGCCCTCTGAAGTCATAGTGCCGCCCTCCGCAGTCTTCGTAAAGCTCCTTGAAGTCATTGCGACGCCCTCTGAAGTCATAGCGCCGCCCTCTGAAGTCATAGTGCCGCCCTCTGAAGTCATAGCGCCGCCCTCCAGTCTTCGTGAAGGTCCTTGAAGTCATTGCGCCGCCCTCTGAAGTCATAACGCCGCCCTCTGAAGTCAAGTGCCGCCTCTGAAGTCATAGTGCCGCCCTCCGGTTGTCCCGAAGTGACGAGATATTTCCCACCCAGTCGGAGTAAATAAGGCGCTTCAAATATTATCCAGCATAAAATTAGTTGTTGAACCCGGTGCCTGACAAATTTGCTGTTTCACTTTCTCATTTTGGCGCCAGTGTTTACACGGCCAATAGCCATTCGTCTAATACCTAGTAGGGCAGGTCATCAAGTGGCGTATTAATATGTTGGAAAGGGGAGGAGGCCAAACATGGGAATTAAGAAGGGGTCCTATCTTAACTTTAGGGGCCCCAGTGGTAACCTACTTTACCCGAGACCGGGTGCGGTTCCTAGCCAACTTTGCCAATGTTTCCCCTCGCATCCGGGCGCATAGCTCGTGAACCGTAAAGGCCGCCGTCCACTGGTGCGGAATTCCGTCCGGAGTCCGTCCGGAATGTCTCCGCACGCTGGCCGCATCCGGTCCGGATGCGGTCCGGATGCGGAGAGCTCACGGACACCATGCGGAGACCGCACCGACTACGGACGGAGACTGTGACAAATGTGACGAATTGAGAGATGCATGGATGACGCCATGATTTTCTGAAATATTTAAAATAAAATAAGACATTACAACAAACATTACAGATGAATTATTGTCTTTTCTGCATTTATAATTATAGCTCAGCATATTTTTTTGATGATGGTAGCTGTGTTATGATGCGGATATATAACATAAATACAAAGTATGCAGATAATTCGGGAGATCTAAAATATATTAAATGTTTGGTAATGCCTTATCGCTACCAAGGTGATATAAACAAACAATTGACATCCGGCATCTGCACTCTGCAGCGATATCTTATATGCGCCGTCAATAGCTTTCTGTCGACTTTCCAGGAGCTTGATATATACGTACGCTGCCGTCTTCGTTCTTGTTATTGTTAAGTATACATAGGCTACGTTCGTTTTGTGTTTATTGTTCTTATTGTATTTCATACCGTTTATTGTTCAAGTGTTCTGTATAAGTGTAACTATGGATGTACGTGTCGGCCTGGCTCAGGCTCGGCTCCGTGTGGCTGTGGAGCACGCTCGTCGGCGGCCACGTCGGCGAGTATGGGTGACCGACGTGCTGCAGCGGCGTAAAGCTCGTGGCGAGTTTTATCATCTCGTGCAGGAGCTGCGACTCCTGGACCCGGATAGGCACCAGACCTATTTCCGGATGAGCCGCGACTCGTTTGACCTAATCCTGTCTAAAATCGGACCGCTGATCACCCGCCAGCACACCAACTTCCGAGAGCCCATCGAGCCGGCTCAGCGTCTGGCCATCACCCTCCGCTACCTCGCCTCAGGGATGGAGTTCGCCGCGCTGGCGCCCACCTACCGACTCGGCGAACGGACGGTGCGAGCCATCGTGTGGGACACGTGTGCCGCCATCGTGGCTGTCCTCGGCCCGGAGGTGCTGCCGGCCCCGACCGAGGCCACCTGGAGGCGGAGCGAAGCGGCCTTCAACCAGCTGTGGGACTTCCCCAACTGCGTGGCGGCCATTGACGGGAAGCACGTCCTGATCAAGGCACCAGCAAACTCAGGCAGTGAGTACTTCAGCTACAAGAAGACTTTCAGCACCGTACTTCTGGCTGCCGTCGACGGTAACTACCGCTTCGTGTACGTGTCGGTGGGGAGCGCTGGGAGGGAGTCCGACGGCGGCATTTTCGGCCGCAGCGACCTGGCTGAGAAGCTGAGGGACGGGACGCTCGGCCTGCCACCAGCCAAGCCGCTCCCGGGCACGGAGGTGACGCTGCCACATGTGTTTGTGGCGGACGAGGCGTTCCTTCTCACCGCTAACATCATGCGGCCGTACCCAGGCCGCACCGAGGCCAGGCTCGGCCGGCCAGCGGCGGTCTTTAACTACCGCCTGTCCCGGGAACGGCGCGTGGTGGAGAATGCCTTCGGCATCATGTCCCAGATGTGGCGACTCCTGACACGGCCGCTCAACGTCTCCGTGGACCACGCCTGCCAGCTGGTCTACACCATCTGCGTCCTGCACAACTTCCTGCGCCGTGACGACGCAGCCGGAGCACCACCCCGAGTCGACGGCACGGAGGCTGAGCAGGCGAACGGTGGCGGGGGCGGCGCGCTGGTGGACCTCCGCGGCCGTCTGGCGGCTCACCCTCACAACTACCCCGTCCGGGCGGAGCAGATCCGACAGCAGTTCACACACTTCTTCATGGGCCCGGGAGCCGTGCCCTGGCAAGAGTAGGAAGCTGTCGGATGTCGGTGTGTGTCAGTGTGTGACACGTGTCTTGGAACTAGTGTGTACTAGAGTTCCATGTGCGGTGAGCTTCATACGCTACGTGCATGGGTTAGGAGATGTTATTGAGGCATTATCGTACTTGTCAGCTGAAATGTTGCAAGCTGAATATGAGATGCGCCACTGCTGCACTTCAAATATAACAAGTTTACTCTCATTGGTGTTATATTGTAAAAGATTGGAACGTCAGCTGGGGCTAACAGACATTGACAAACGTCAAATGACAACGTAATGCAATATGCATCAAGTACAAATATAAAAACAAACAGACAAATCTGAACAAAAACAAAATACCATTATCCCTGGTCACACATGTAGGAGAGTTAGAGCCATATGGTAACATGAAAGACATACAACTTGGAATGAATCCGCGACCAGCATTTCGAGTCAAAAACAAATACTAACCCCCGGAAAGCATTTACGAGGGACATCAAGCTCATAGTTACATAGGAAAAATAATCACCGAATGATGCCTAAAACGATGCTACAATGAATGTCACAAGATCGTCGTAAAAATCACAGCACAGGTGACGGATGGGCAAAGTATAATTTAAGGACAAAAAGTCAGACACCAAACAGACAGACAAAGTCATTCGAATTCATAATTCATCGTCAAAATCTCATGACATAAGGGAAATACAGGGTGGGCCAAAAAATTGTGTAACTTTTCAGCAGTAATTTCTCGAAAGTGGTAAAAAATATGAAGAAGAAACTTTCACAACTTAAAGAAAATCGTTTGACAAATTATATGATGCCCATTTCATGGACAAGTTCCAATGGAACTGATGTTGCCACCATCATTTAAAAAGGATGTGTCTTTTATTCGTGTATGTGCTCAAAGTGGGAACCTCCACGCTGAAGGCACATCTGAACGTGCTCCAGGAAGCTGCCAGGAAGTGCCAACAGATACCGCGGAGCGGGTGGGCGCCAGCTTCCTGGAGCACGTTCAGATGTGCCTTCAGCGTGGAGGTTCCCACTTTGAGCACATACACGAATAAAAGACACACAGAGACACAATGATTATGGCAACATCAGTTCGATTAAAACTTGTCCATAAAATGGCTGTCGTATAATTTTTAAACCATTTTCTTAAAGTTGTGAGTTTCTTCTTCGTATCTTTTATCATTTTCGAGAGGTTATTGCTGAAAAGTGACACAATTTTTTGGCCCACCCTGTATGACACGGGCTTTGTCTCACTCCTCCTTGGCCTTCATGATAGCGGTCATTATTTCTATTTTTAGAGCAAACACACGATGCTCCGGCACACCTTCCATTTCTGCACCAACCCATTGGCCGAACGACAAGTTAGGGTTGGACAGAATAGCGAAAGCGTTTTCTAAATTCTGAAGTGCGTCGTCAACCCTCCCTAGTTTATCCCCAGTCTTGGGCCGCTTGGCCCCGCTCACGCGAGTGGTGGCTGGCTGGGCGGCTGGCTGGGCGGCTGGCTGGGCGGCTGACGGGGTGGCAGTGGCGGACCCGGACGCGCTGCCGACCGGCGTCGACCTGCGCCGCGAGGCCGGCGGCAACGGCGGCGCCGTGCCACCAGACATCACTGCAAAGTACACCCCAATCTAAATATCAATAAGCGTACAAGACGGATCACATAGGTGATCTGTTATTGCTTCGTGCTTATAAAATGATAATGCCGATTTGTATTGCACGTCGTTCACTCGTACTGAAACTGTTAGATTCATTTAGTTATTAATACCACACCTACTATTGGACGTCAAACCCCTCGAGACCCCACTTTTTTGCGATAATTTTTAAATGCGTGAACTCTCGTTGACGATATTCTGGCAATGTGTGTTTCAGAACCTGCCGACACTTTTATTACAAAAGTATTTTGACACCAAACGATAATGAAAGGTACTTCTCATTCACTCGTAATGCTAAGGTCATTTCAGGCCCGGGCAGAGGCTTGCGTTCGGCCACACTCGAGCCCCGCCACCAGCGCCATCTGCTCTAAATGCCATCTACCAGCGCCCGCTACCGCTACCAGCTACCGCCCACCATCACGCCTGGACGGAGCGCGAGAAGCGAGTGACCGGTCGCCGGGCAAGAAGCGCCGGAGAGGTAGGGCGGAGCGTAGCGCTGATGTCATTACGTGGCTCCACCCCATGAGCGCGTATCCTTTACCCAAACAGCAGATTCGTTCCGTGAAATTTAACATTACGAGTGAATGAGAAGTCTCTTTCATGATCGTTTGGCGTCAAAATACCTTAGTAATAACAGTTTCGACAGGTTCTAAAACACACATTGCCAGAATATCGTCAATGAGAGTTCACGCATTTAAAAATTATCGCAAAAAAAGTGGGGTCTCAAGGGGTTTGACGTCCATAGTAGAACCCAGAGCGGCTTGCCGCCACGTGACATTGCGATGAACTTTTTCACCTGTTGTAAGAATGCTCGCAAACAATGCAAGACTCATCAAACCAATAGCCAAATAGATCCTTGCACCAATGTACCAAATCGATTGAAGATTCGTGCACGGCACACTGCACATTATAAAAGTACCCAGCGCCCTCACTGCACTTGCCTACCTGACCTGTCGTCGGACTGAGCCTGATCGTCGCCGAACAATGACTGCGTCTCGCTCATCTCCAACTGATCCTCCCAGTCGAATGACTAAAACAAACAAATGAGAGCACAACCGGTCAGAAACAGCACCAGATTTAGCACCTTCCGACGAGAGAAAAATGTGCATGTAGATAAGTCGAAGGAACTGCACTTGTATACTAAGCAAGAATTTCACTTCCATTATTAACCCGCGTCCCGTCGGGGGGGGGGGGCGAAACGGCCCCCCTGTCCTTTTCCGTCGATATCTCCTAAACGGCTGGAGATATCGCCACCAAACTTTCAGGACCCCTCCATGCATCAATTCTACACATTGTGACCAAAAATTTTCCAGAGGATATGATATGAAAGATTCTAGTATCAGCTTCTGCTGAAAGCTGGGACCATAGTACACAGTCCCCACTCCCAGGGTCTCTTTGACCAGTCTGCAGCCATGTAGTTAAGAAACCAAGGTCAGAAACGTACCGCGTTCGGATCGGAAGTTGAGGACTGTTGAACACCCAGGTTTGTCAGCACACTGTGAAGGAAAGGATGATAACATAATCACGAAGGATGCATGATGTTTGTTTTGCTTTGTTGGGTGATGCTCTTGCGCTCCATCGAGACCATTGCAGAGCCAGGACGATCGCAAAGAGTAGGGGGAGACATCGGTCTGGGCAGGAATCCTACTCAGTCGCCGGGGCTGAGCCCATCCAATTGGACAAGCCGACGGAAACGGTGTGAAAAAAAAAACAACAACAGAACGGTGTGACTGAATGAATGAGGAAGAACGAAGAACGAAGAACGGAGGATCCCATGGTTATCAATTATAATGCTTTGTCAGTGTGGTTTCATAAGTCATGATCTAATGAGACCGTTTTAGGGACACAGGATATTAGGAATGGGGAAAGGAACAAGTCTGGCCGGCCTCCCTCGTGCGCCGCCACGGTTGAATCGGCCGCGCTAACGATCACTATACCTGCTGCTGAGAAGCTAATTATCATGTCCAATGACCATGCCAGGCATCGATTGCTATATGAACGTCATGTGCTGCCACCTATGTGCCGATGGCACGCCATCTAGAAGAATCACATTGGTAATTAGTACAGTTCCCAATACAGCAAAACTCACGGTTTGGGGTTACCGGCGTCGTCCAGGAACCCCATCTCTCTCATCCAAGAGGGCATGTCCTGCGGTACCGCTCCCGCGGATCCGCTCGGTTGCTGTTTTCGTCTCTTTGTATAGTAGTCCCGTAAGTTGCGCCATCTCTTCTTCGCCTCATTTCCTGAAAGCACAGACATATGGCATGGTGCATAACATAGCATGGCGAGTGATGAATGAACAATGGATGATAGGCGTTTCAAAAGACGAAGGTTAATCATACTTTTTTATTAACTGGCGGCCCCAGCCAGAGCTAAGCGGACATCTGACAACTTAAGTGACCAATCACTGTCAACACTTCAAACCTGATCTGTAATGTTATGCGTGGTGTTTGCTGTACAGCTATTCAGTTTGCTGATGTACATAAATGTGACCTTAATAGCAACGTCACAAACAGTTCTAACCTTCACGGCCAGTAGTAGCTGCGCACCGCTCCCATAATGCTCTGGCTTTAGTTTTATTGAAATAGTCCTTGTGTTTGGGCTGCCACAAGCACGGGTTTTCCTTTACAAATAAAACCAGTGCACTGTCACCTGGCATGCTGAAACAAGAGAACATGATACATTTACAGATAAGAAAGACAAAAACACATACAACGATGCATATTGGTATATGTAGGTAGGAAATAAATCTCATCTGTGACTTGACCCATGGCAGTGATGGAAAATTACAATTTTCTGGTATGGTGATGAGAGTTGACCAGTCTAATGTTTAAAGTTATCTTTTAGCTGCAGTTGCACAAACATATAAACCCAAGTTTTGGAATTATGAGAGGCATGGCACGAGCAGTGTTGAATGGTCCATCTTTTTGCCAAACCAATGATGAAAACAAATTGGTACCTAGCAAAATGTTATGAAAACACCATGAAAACATGTAAATGACATGTTGACTCAAAACACTGACACTGCCTTGGGTACCACACCTACTTCAGAAGGACATTTCAAACTGCACACCACATCTACTTCAGAAGGGCAATTCAAACAGCCCTAGGATTAATGGTTGTGGTGATATTGCCACAAATGGCACAATGCTTGTGCCATTGTGTGCTCAATTCTACCCCATTATGTGTCCCTCACCCATGACCCAGGTATGTGTGAGAGACACAGAATACAGCCTAGAAACCTTCCCAAAATTGGAATGTTATACCTACTATTGGCAGCACACCAATAAGTATTATCAAATGCTCAGGAAGAAGGCACCCACCATGAGTAGGTGGTGATTGTCAGGAACTACACAGTATGTGTCGGCAAAGCAAAGCTGATAAAATTATCCTAATCAAATCCATTCAGTACCTTTGCATTTTGGTTTGACCTATCCATGCAAAATGGACTAAATACCTATGAATTGTATGACTATGTGTACTGTGTAGGGTATGTTCAGGAAACCCCAGTTGAAACTGCACAGCAATGCTCAGCCAATTGTTCTACCACATGTGGAACTGCCGGGGATATCATTCATCAACCATGAATCTGCTTTACTGATACAGGACGAAAGTCACATCTGGTACTTGGTAGTTATAAAGCATGCGTCACACTTTTTTGCAACCAAGGAAAGGCGCTATACCCAGAGTTGCTTTCTAGCCAACCAAACTAAACTTAACCAACTCTGACGACCTAACCTTACCTACAACCTAACAACTGAACAACCTATAGCACCTCACCTTGGTTGCAAAAAAAAAAACAAGTGTGATGCCTGCTTTACTTCTACCTCACATCTTGGGGGTAAAAGTGTAGGAAAAGTCAGAACTCCGAGCAAATATATAAGCATAATCTAACCTGACCTAACCTTGCCTACCAGCCTACGAGCATAAATCTTTCAACCTACGAACCTACAACCTATCAACCTAAAACCTTCCAGCATAAGGCCTAACAACCCACTACAATTTAACCTGCAACCTACCAGCCTATTCAGACCTTTTGTATGCCTACTAACAATTATATTGGGTCCATGCACTCAGTAGCGACTGCGAGTCCTCGTACCCTTCAAACTAACATCAAATCTATTTCCAGATGGTTTTAACTACAAAAATGAAAATGAGTACATCATATGACTGGCACCTAACATGCTTCATAGATGTATGCACTCTAGCTTTCTCAGCCTGAACCCCTTCCAGAAATTCAGGGTAATGTGCGATATTCTATGCACCACTTATCTGCCTGTTACTAATTAACAGGCATGTTTTTTTTTTGTCGCTCATTGGAATGCATAAAACAGCATATTTATTGTGGTGTTTGTGGTACAATTAAAACAAAATGCCCTCTGCTTACCCAAAAAAAAATTCATAAGAAGCATCCTCTATGCACCAATTGTGACATGCAACCAAAATAATGTTTCCTATCACTCATTACCAAATAAAATATTGCAAGTAACCAGCAGCGAATACTCTTGCCATTCTAAGGAAACAATTTTTACTTACTTCATGATGATCGAGTTCCAATTCTTCACAATGTTCACAATGATTGCCTCCTACACGGCCCCAAACCACGTCTGTTCCGGACGTTCCGGATGCGGAAAAGTTCAACGCGTCGGACATCACTCTTCCGTCTCCGTAGCAACCGCATCCGAAACGCATGCGGAGAGCTGACGGAAAATCAACAGCTGATTGCCGTTCGGATGCGGTCCGGACGGAGCGCACACGATTTCCGTACGGACCGGATGCGCCCATAGGGTTCTGTGTTAAATTCCGTACGGACCGCACGCGTTCCGCACCAGTGGACGGCGGCCTTAAGTGTTACAGCGTCACGGAACAATGCATTTGATAGATCCTTGGAAGCTTCCACTGCGTTGTCCTTAGATTCGAGCTCAGTTCGACAATTTGGCCCACACTGAGAGCAAAAACTGCCAAAATAGACGGATCTTGCAGAAGCATTTGTTCCATTTCTTTACGTACTATGCATATATCTACCTACTCACTCCACGTATGGTAGGCACAGTTTTTACCGTAATTGTGGCTCTCGTATCGAGAGGCGTTAAATTATCTATAGTATGACCTATAGTCAGTTGCATGCTCTAACCGAAAAAGGTCATGCTGTACATAAACTGATCTGTGTTGTTGGGCTGAAGGCATTACATAATACACTCTTTCATCACTCTACTATGTCTTCTTTTAAAGTTATTGTTGAATTTTTTGGTGCCTTTGGTGATCTTTCTTGTGACTTCTACAGGCTCCTGCACAGACCGGTAGAGGCCACGCTGGTCACTGAGAGGTCACGCTGGTCATAGGTCGGTCTCTAAGAGCTCCATGTCGTCGACCTCTGAGGACCCTGCACAGGCTTTGGAGGCTCCACATCGGACCCTGTAGAACCTATCTCCGGTCTTAGATCCTTGAGGGCTCAAGATGGTCCCCGAGAGCCCCACGTCAGCCTCAAAGAGCAGATATCGATCTGCACAGAGTCTTGCGCTGGTTGAGGGCTGATACCCTAAGCTTTAGGAGGGTCCAACTCGGGCTATGAATTCCTCTGATGGCTCCATGTCGCCCTCCAGGGCCTCAGTCCGACCTCTAAGGCCCAATCATGCATAAGTGCTGAATTCTGCCTGTCGAGGCCTTCAATGTGGCCTCTGATGGCCCAGCACCAGTCTATGAAGACCCCGCGCTGGCTTCTGAGGACTCAGCAGTCAGCACCAATCTCAGTTCTCAGAAGGCAGAGGGCCCCACGCTGGCCTCAGAGTGTCCAACGCTGTCCACAGAGGGCCCCACACCGACCAAAGAAGGCACCAGGCCCATGGCCTAAGAGGGCCCAAATTGTCATCATAGGGCCCTATATGGCCTCAGAAGGCCCTACCCCGTTGGTCTTACAAGGCCTACGTGCGGGCTTTTTAACGCCACACGCCCCCCTCACATTTGGCCTTTTAGGGTCCCCAAAGCGGCCTCTGAGTGTCCCATGCTAGCCTCCGAGGGCTCGTCCTGGGCCTTCGAGCGCCTTACGCTGGCCTCTTAAGTCTTAACCCCTCGGTAGAAGTAGGTGTACGAATACTTATGTTTGGGCAGAAATTTTGTATCCTATAGCCTGTGCATGTTACATGCGGCGTATACGGTATATGTATGTTACGTGGTGTCATTCTGGCTTCTGAGGTCTGGTTTGCCCCTTAGTCGAAATTCATTAGCCAAGACCCTGAGATACAGTGCCGCCCTCTGAAATGAAAGTAGCTCCCTCTGAACTCGTAGCGACGCCCCTGAAGCCAGTTTACCCCCTTCGTAAAGGTAGTGTGCCAGCTTTCCTGGACCGTATGGAGTTAATGGCCCAGATAAGGAGAACCGGATTTTTAGAACTTATCCATACCTTCAAAACTCATGGAAACGTCTTAAATTTTTCAAATTTTGAGTACCCCAGTGCGAAATTCGCCCCGACGGGTTGTCGGTCGTACCCCAACCACATTTCACACCACTATGAACAATAAATGCACACACTGAAATCGCTATTACCGATAGGCTCATCCAATCAAGATTCGATAAACCCGTTCATCATCATCTCCTGCGGTTTCGAACACGCCTGTTAGGTGGTGCGGTAGACCGCGCCCAAAGCCAGGGCCCCGGTAACGTGAGGTAGCCGAGTCGGGGCAGCGTGCGCTGACCCAAGCCGGGGCCGCGCGTCCTCCCGGTGTCATGTGATAGCCCGGGGCTGCCCGGGGATGCGGTAGACCGCGCCCAAAGCCGCGGCCCCGGCTTGGGTCAGCGCACGCTGCCTCGACTCGGCTACCTCACGTTACCGGGGCCCCGGCTTTGGGCGCGGTCTACCGCAGATGGCTTCTGCTCATACTTTGTGGTGCGGTGGTGGTGGCCGCGCGCTCTGACTTCGGCCAAGAAAAATGCGTCAGCTGATCATTGTCATTTCTGCCACTTTCATGTGGTGAGATAGGGTCATAACTTAAGAGACGGCTGTTTCATATCAATTATTTTACTATTTCAAACCATAAATTAATGTTCGACAGCCGAATTAAAGAAACAATACCAATACCTACAGGCTTACAGTTTAAATTCGACATTGCATGGGTGGAGCTTTTCCAGGAAAGTTGGTGGGGCAAAAAGTTGTCAAACCTACAATGTCCGATTGTTAAGTTAGATAAAATTCAACAATGAATCAATTCTTTTCATTACAGAGATAATATTTTGCATTAGGTACACAGATATTTCAAAGCTCCTTAATGCGAAAAACATAGGTTTGCTAAGCAGTAAAGTCCTGCAAATCGGCTTATGTTGGTGGGGCAAAACGCTTATTGGTGGGGCAAATTGGCAAGTTGGTGGGGCAGGCGCCCCACTAAGTGAATAGGAAGCTCCACCCCTGCGACATTGTGTTGTCTACGACCAGTATAACGCCTTTTGGGGCGACTAACGGAGCGAGCGAGAGGGTGGGCCTTGCACGTGCGAAATTACGAGGGGGTACCTCCAGCTGACTTGTGCACGGCACCCTACTAACCGGTCTCTAGCGATGTGCCAAATTTGAGCACAATCGGCCCAGCCGTTCTCGAGATCTGGAAGCGGCACCCTGCACGTGCGCACGTGCAAAATGGGTCCCAACTGACTTTTGCACGGCACCCTACTAACTGGTCCCTAACCGTGTACCAAATTTGAGCGCAATCGGTCGAGCCGTTCTCGAGATCTGGAAACGACCCCTGCACGTGCGCACGTGCAGCACTGGCACATGGATATGCATTGCATAGTGGGTGCCTACCTACATGCCAACTTTCAGCGCAATCGGCCAAGTAGTTACCGAGATATTGCAACAATGACAAAAGTGACACCTCTTCGTTTTGCACGTGGCACGTGCATAAGGGGTCACCCACATGCATCGGGAATAGTCCAATACTTGGTAGAAGGAATGAAGCTACCCTACAAAAATTACCGCGTGTAAATCGGTCAAGTGATTGCTGAGATATAAGCCTCGCAAAAGCGTGACCACGGCCGGCCGGCCGGCCGGCCGGCCGCTCATACTCAGAAATTTCCGTTAAGGCGGCCGCACACTGGGCCATTCGGCGGGCGAGATTCCGCAAAAGCGGAATGTCGCCCGCTTGTTTTCAGCAGTTTACAGGACCATTCGGCGGTGCGATTTTCTACTTAGTATTTTCAGGAACTTTATGTGAAACATTTTATGATAAATATAAACGAATGCAAACTAAATACATTTAAGCAAATACAATATTTGCTTATTTAATGCGATTATGCTATATTTCTGTACAATAAAGTTTTGAATATCAGAGAGAGAAAATATATGAAAAATGACCTCTCCTCGACATTTAAAATTATTTGAATGGCCAAATATTTCTGTATTGATATTTCGACCAACAGGTCTTCTTCAGAATAAGACAATGTACACAATTGTACGAGAACGAGAATACAATACAATTGTATTCTCGTTCTCGTACAATTGTGTACATTGTCTTATTCTGAAGAAGACCTGTTGGTCGAAATATCAATACAAAAATATTTGGCCATTCAAATAATTTTAAATGTCGAGGAGAGGTCATTTTTTCATATATTTTCTCTCTCTAATATTCATAATGTTCCTCGCAAGAGCGCTCCAAAGAATAAGTTTTGAATATCTATTAATTTGACATAATTTCTGGAGGAAGCTGCAAAAAATAAAGCTCGTGATTAATGTAAACAACCGTGTTTGTCGACAAATGCAAGAAACCTAAAGACAATTGTGGAGAGGCACATAGTAACCCATTATTGGAATAACCAATGAAGTGTATAAAAACCATTTAATCAATGGGGAAAGAAGTGCCGCTACGATTTTTTATCAAGTGAAGTCTATTTCTCGGCTGCTCCATCAATAGTTGGTGAGTTTCAAGTTCCACAATTTCGGGTGTCCGCGGCGTCGCCGCGGAAAAAGCTGAACCGGTCCAGCTTTTTCCGCAACTCCGCGGCTGTTCGCGCGCATGCGCACTCTACCCGCGGACAGCTAGCTGGCAGCGGTCGGCTGATAATTTTGTCGTTTCGGCAGTTGATTCGGCGTCCACGAAAGCGTAATGTCGCCACGGAATTGCGTTTTTGCGGAATGTCGCCCGCCGAATGGCCTAGTGTGCGGCCGCCTTTAATCTAAGGAAAGACTACGCTCGCTTCGCTCGCTCCGTAATTAGACAGCTGATAACTCATTCCCGTACGTCGTAACTCTATAATGACCTTTGCTTATTGTCACATGTGCGCCGCATTCGCGATTGTTGCCGACGCCTGTTTGCAGGTCAGCCCACTACAGTTGTTATACATATCGAAAAACCGATAAACTTTTCGGCGAAAAAAGCACTATTCCAGGCCCATTTTTTAATTTTTGTGATATTAGGTAAAAACAGAAGCTTCTTATCCTAGGAAAAATAAAATGGGAAATCTTTGAAAGGTGGCACACTACCTTTAACCCTCGCGGGCCGAGGGAGGAGGGGGGGGGGCACCCCTTACGATTTTTTTCGTGACTGCTCCGGAGCCGTTTTCGATAGAGAGCTGAAACTTGGCTTTCGTGAGCCCCCATCCAAACCAGACCTTATGACACCTGATTCATTTCCAGGTTAGTTCAGGTCCATAGGTGGATAATTGTGCCGAACGGTGGGTGCTCGGGCGCAGC